AGGTGGATAGTGCAGCTAACCACCGGTGACCCGCTGCATTGAGTTTTGCAGTGGTAAGGATGTAAGTAAGTGGGTTGTTGTCTGTCCTTACTGTAAATCGTGCACCATACAAGTAATCATGAAACTTGTCTACCACTGCCCACTTGAGTGCTAAAAACTCAAGTTGGTGGACAGGGTAACGCTGTTCAGATGACTTCAGCTTGCGGCTGGCAAATGCTACTGGCCTTAAGCCTTCTGGGTACTCCTGGTTTAAAACTGCTCCCAAACCATTCAGGCTGGCGTCGACATGCAGAATGTAGGGCCTGCTTGAATCAGCAAATGCCAAGACAGGTGCGTTAGTAAGACAACGAATGATCTTCTGGAATGCCTCTGTACATTCTTCTGTCCACCTACCCCCAAAAGCTTCAGACTCCTTGTAGTACATCCCTTTGTTCTTTGCAGCACTCTTCCCATGCTGAGTAGGCGGATATCCTTTGGTAAGCTCAGTAAGGGGTCTGACTATAGCGGAGTAGTTCGCTATGAATCGCCTGTAGTACCCACAAAATCCCAGGAATGATCTGAGGGATTTCAAATCAGTAGGTTGCTTCCAATTGGTCACAGCTTCAACCTTTGCTGGATCAGTGGCAATACCCTTCTCAGAAATGATATGCCCCACATATTTTACCTGAGGTTGACAGAACTGACACTTGTCAAGTGAAACTTTTAATCCACTTTCTTCAAGTCTATCAAGGACTTTTAGCAGACGTTCTTCATGTTCTTCTAGTGTTTTGCCAAACACTATAAGATCGTCCAAGTACACAAGTACTTCCAGCAGATTCATATCCCCTACGGCCTTCTCCATTAATCTCTGGAACGTAGCAGGGGCTCCAGAGATTCCTTGCGGCATCCTTTCAAACTGATAGAACCCAAGGGGACAAATGAAAGCGGTCTTGTCCTTATCTTCATCAGCCATCTGGATCTGATAATACCCGCTCCGCAGGTCTAAAACGGAGAACCATCTGCTGCCCGTAAGACAATCTAAAGCTTCGTCAATCCTTGGCACAGTGTATTGATCTGGGATGGTTCTTGTATTTAGGGTTCTATAGTCGATACACATACGCACCGTTCCGTTCTTCTTCCTGGCCACAACAATAGGGGAAGCATATGAGCTCCTGGACTCTTTGATAATTCCAGCGGCCAACAACTCATGAAGATGACGGCGTATGTCATCAATGTCGGCAGGCGCAAGCCTACGGGATCTCTCTCGAAATGGGGTGTTGTCACTCAACCGAATGTGATGTTCCACTCCCTTCGCACATCCCACATCCCATTCATGGAGCGAAAATACATTAGTTCTCTCTGCCAGTTTTTGAGATAGCCTATCCCTCCAATGTTGTGGAATCGGTGAATCTCCGAAATTAAACAAGCATGGATCTACAGGTGATGACTTTGCTGAATGGTCTTTCTCCACAGTAGTAGCCACTTCGGTGGTAAAACCGTGCGCCACCACAGAACCCATAGGAATACAAACTTCCTTCTGCGAAACATTCCTCAGTAACACAGGAAATCGGTTCACTTGGATCGCTGATGAGGGAACGATAGTAGGCTTTACTAGTATCTCAGCAGGACTACTAGAAGTTGACGGTTGATCAACAACTAAAATGCTCTTGTCAATGGATTGCATCACCTTGACTTTGCATGTAGCTTGACACTCACTCCTTGGTGGAATACGGAGTGGGCCTGGACCTGACCATTGGATTTCTGCCACAGCATCTTCTGCGTTTCTCTGTTCTCTGGCTTCCATTCTGAACGTCTTTGATTTCTGAAGATTTACTGGCATCGTACGAACAATGTCTACTCCAGAAGACTCTTTACAAAGCTGTGCCAACCGTTGGAACATACTAGCATTGGTACCAATGAGTAATGGAACCTGTTTGGGTCCATGAGGCTCTGGACACACTAATGCCAGTACACTGATGGACTGTTGCACTCCTGTCAACTTCTCCGGAAATTGCAGCTCTACTTCCACATAGCCACGATATGGAAAACTGGAATCACTCAAGCCCCAGACAGCTAGTCCAGAAATAGGGTGAATCGGAGTATCAGCCAGGTGTTGGTTATACCATTCTTCAAATACAATGGTTACCACTGATCCACTATCCAGCAAAGCTTGACAAGGCGTTCCATTTACCTTCACCGGAATAACGGAAGATGGTCCCACTAGTCCTTCTGGGATACTGATGGTTGGTTTGACTTGAACCGCGCTTCTCTTCACAGAGCAGTTATATTCCTCTTCAGGATCCTCCTCACACCTCTGTTTCCCTTTAGCCTTCCGCAAAGATTGAATGAGTTTCTGAATCACTTTCTTCTCATTTACAGGAGCTTTGCATTTGGAAGCAATGTGTCCGTCACCTCCACACCTGTAGCAGAAGTAATCTTCTGCGCTCTTTGAAGATCCGGGTACTTTTGATCGGGTGAATTTCACGAAACATGCATCGTTTCTCTCTGCAGTAGTTTCTTTCTCCGCTTTAGGTGTCGATTGCACAGCCATCACTTTCACTTGTTGTCTAAGTTTTTTCACTTCTTTCTTCAAAGCTTGTACTTCACAACTTTCATCCATTAACTTCAATGATGGCGGGTTTTTTGGTTCCTTTTCAGAAATCGCATCATCCTTTGACTTAACGGTTAACTCTGCCACCATAGTTTGTAAGTCTTTGATCTCAGTTGCGAGCTCTTGAAAGAATGGGGTTTCGTTATTTTCACTTCCAACTTGCACTTGACGAACTGTTGGATTAGACCTTCGTCTTTCAGCTTCTCGTACCTCCTCTTCCCGAATCTCCTGTAGCAGATCTAGGAAATCAGGTGGGTTACTCTTACGTTCCCTTATCCGTAACTGAAGCAGCAAAATGTCAGACTGGGTTGCTCCTCTAATGAGTTGCTCCAGACGGGCTTTTCCAGCAGACTGGGCAGATAGCCCTCCCTTTTGTACAACTCTGATTAAGATTTTCTCCAGCCTCCTCAGGAAATCCGACAAGCATTCTCCATGACGTTGCCGTAGTGCTCTGAACTTGAAATACAGATCTTCACCAGACTCTGAGCTCCCAAAAGCACTTTCTATAGCTGTTAAGTACTCTTTTGGAGATGCTTCAGCATTGGTAAACCTTACTGCTTGAATAATCTCCAAGGCTGGTCCACGCAAACTCTCCACAATCCTTAACTTCTTTTCTTTTTCGGAACGATCACTTTCCTCAATCATGAGCATTGCTTGTTCCATCCAATTCTCTAAATTATCCTCTCCAGCTGGAAGGGGAGTGATACCTGAAAAGGTTCTCAGCCGTCTGAAGGAACTGTTATCACTTGAGGTTTTGGTGGTTTTAGCAAGCAATTCACCCACTGCCCTGATGATAGACTCAGGCGTTGAAGCATTTAACAAGTTAGGTGAACCTGCGTCACTACCCTCCATTCCCTTAGCACTCAGGATCCATGGGTCTGATCCATCAGCAGGCAATACATCCAGAGGGAGTCTCTCTGCAGGCACCTTCTCACGACATTCACAGAGCACTATCAGAGACTGAGATGATTGGCTATACATCCGTCCTCTTACCCTGACTCTTCCAAGGGCTTTAATAGAATGCATAGTCTCTTCAATTTTAGAAACATCCGTCTCTTCTGGAATTCCACTCACAATGATGGCATAATCTGGATCGATGCCTTCACCTCGACACCAACTTTTTAAGTCAGGGACTGAGAAAGGAGTCTGCGAATGAGCCATAGCTAGAGCTAAACTGTTACTTTGTACTAGAAACTTTTTTTTTTCTCAATTAATGCTGCTGTAGTAATAAGGGAAATGGAATCCCAGCGGGGCCTCCAATTTATGTAACCCCAGTAATGATACCCGCTATATTAAAGCTGGGGCCTGGGTAAATAGATGTTTCACTGTTTTGCTTACCTGGGATAATCAAATGTATTTACCATTCCCTTCAGCAGCAATAAAGACTATTGAATCCAATACTGGTTTGATGAGTCTTTATATATATTTGACTAAATCAATAAATAAAATAAAGCAATGTGAAAAGTAATAAAAATGGGAAAACACACTCTTTCAAAATAAAATAAAATAAAATATCAAATTAAATCCTTTTCAATGAGTTACAATTTGTTGAAATAAACCCAACACTTCACAAGTGTTAAACTCCCTGAAAGATATGAATGCACAACTCAATAACACAGTCTTCCAATTGGAAATAAACCCAATGAATAATCAGTAACTTAGATTAAACTCACTTAAGTGGGCCCACAATCACGCTCTCACTCACACACACACCCAACGTTGCAGGCCTGATGTTTTCCAGAACGCGACGAGTCCCGCGACGATGATGATGATGATGTCGTGGCGTTGGCTCACCCGAGCGGCTGTCTTTCTCTCCCGCGAGGCAACAGAGGAACTCCAGGCTTTTCCTGTCACCTGGAGCGCTATCTGTTGTGGCGATCTATCCCTCGTTGCCAGAGGAACTCCAGGCTTTTCCGGTCACCTGGAGCGCTATCTGGTCGGCCTCCACTCTGATGAATCTGATCCGGCTCGTCCTCCGTGCTAATCACCGCACGACCGCATGGAGTAAACGTGCTGAGTGAAATCCATGACGAATATCACCAATAACTGCTAAATAAAGTTATTACTAGCAAAATACAAATACTAATGACGGATTCAGTCTGTAATTACAGGATTATCGTGTGAAAATCCCTTTATTCAGCCTCTACAATCCTCTTTTCTCCTCCGACTCGTCTTCTCTCTTTCTTCCTCCTTCACCACCCCACGCCCCTTCATTGCGTCATACGTGAGTACGTAAATAAAACATTAAACATTAAATAATATTATATACAAATATTTAACTATATACATACATCTGAAAACACTGTAAAGGCACAGAATAAGTAAAATACACAGATTGATAAATGTAAATAAACATTTCTTTCCAACAGTAATTTAGTGAATTTAGGGCTCAAGGGCTCACCGGGCTACAACAGTATTTATAAATCTTTGTTAACGTTAGTTGATACAAATGCAACCGTTTATAGTTAGTTCCTGTTAGCTCAGGTTCATTAAATGATATTAGCAGATCCTTTCGATTTAATAATTTAATATGAACTTATAATATGCATGAACATTAAGTTATTATATGTTTTAGAAGTATTTTTCATTGTTAGTTAAGTTTACTAATGTAGTTAACTAAAGTTAAACAATGGGACCTTATTCTAAAGTATTACCAGGAAAAGTTATAAGGAATGATCATATTATTGTACCTTCATGCACACATTTTGCTTGCATTTCCCAATTATTTCTTAAAATATGAAGAGTACTGCATTCAGATTAAATGAAAGGATGCGGAAAAATATTATTAAAAAAATATATTATAAGTTGAGATTTGGGAGTAGTTATTATTTAATTAATCATCATCATCATCATCATAAATGGTTAAGCAAATATAAACCGAAGTGGGGTGATCTATTTTCTCTCTGTCAATTAATATTAATAAGGTTATGCAAATAACATACATTAAAATGTGCAGCAATTTTTCTGGTCATAAATGGACATAAAGTTAAAGGAGATTTTTCTAGAAGAAACTTGGTCACAGCCATTTTGTTAAAGAGGTATAAAAAAAAACAATTCTATAAAAAAAGAATCCTTTTCAAGAATTTTGCTTGCTATTATGGAATGACATTGAGGGGAGAAATTAAGTATGGATACATTTTGTATCTACACTAAAAGCTACTTATTCAACAGCTCAGAGTTACCATTGATTAAAGTGACCTACTTCGTTCAGCTTAATAGAATGAGCGTCAACTAACAAGCCTACAGTATATCTATATTTTGTCACTTAGATTGGAAAAACTGGTCTTTTTTTGTTTAGAGTTTTTCTATTTAATAAACAAAACCATTTGGTTTGAAGCATCGGAAACAACCTGCATTTGACAAAATGTCAGTAAAATGAGTCAAGTTATCTGTAACATGTCAGTCAGTGGACAATACTCTAATCCTCATGTTCAGGAACACAAAAGCTGGTCTGTCTCTGAGAGAAAGAACAAAAATAACATTAGAAATCAATTACAAATATACCAAAATGTGTATGTAAGGGTTCTGGAAACCACACAGTACAGGGACATCATTGTGTCCTAAAGCTTTGTGGCAAAAGAACGAGAGAAGGCCTAAACTAGATGAATGGTAAAGCATCCATCCCTCCACAGGTCTGGGATTTGGACGAATTTAAAGCAAAATTCACAGGTCAGTCAATTCTAGCTTCATTCAAACAGTCTAGGGTTTGAGCCCATATCATTTCGATGTATGCCATGACCTAGTCCAGCTGGGCAAACGTTTTAAAACAAGCCAGCACAGCTGGCTCATGTTTAAGTCTGGAGGTCCCAGTAGGTCTCAGGTTTTAGTCCAGGTGCTGAGTTAATCCCTCACGGTCCTAGTTTGTATTTAGGTCCTCCGCTATGCAATCTGTATCTGTCCTGAGTAGATGGTGAGTATAAGCATGATGGCAAACCCTGTGAGCAGTCCTGCGTTCTGGATGGCAAAAGTGAGCAGACAGCCACTTCCTCCGGCCTCCTCTTCCTCACGACTCACCTCGTTCATCTCTGGAAACTGCAAAGGAATATGGAGACACATGGATTATAAGAATCCTTATACAAATCAACAGAATGGGTAATGGCAGGCTTTGATTTCATGGTTATCAAGTTAGACTCTGGAAATTCAAATGCGTACACGCTAACGTTTTAAAGTTTGAGATCAGGAACTATATTTCATGTCAAGTCAATTTCAAGTATATTATATTTATATTAAGTATATTAAAGTCCCCGTGAACCGGAAGCTGCAAACGATTTTTCTCCAGTGCTGTGACGTATTTCCAAGTGAAACGGAATATTGAACAGAGGGCAGGGTTTTACTCTAGCGCTCCTCCTCTCCATCTCTCGCTCATAGCAAACTAACAGTTTGAGGGGAGTGGTTAAGCGTTTCCCCACCCAAGTTGTGAAACCTACGTTATCAGAAAAAGAAACGGAAGTAACTTTTCAGATTTTGATTAAAGATTACCAAGGTAAAACATTTTTTAAATATATTTTTACTTGCACGGATTAATTGTTCACCACAAGACTAGTAATATGCGCTAACAAAGTAAATAGGTTCAATTTTGATTTCACGGGGACTTTAAGTATATTTCAAGTCTCAATGCGCACCAAGGACATAACATATAGTAAAATATCATTTATTTGTATCACATGAATCATTCTAATGTGCTGATTAGTGCTCAGGAAACATTTCTTCTTATTATCAATGTTAAAAACTTGCTTAATATTTTTGTGGGAACTGAATTCCCCCAGGATTCTTTGATAAATCATTTCCCAACATTCTTTAACATATATTCTTTTGTGTTCAACAGAACAAAGAAACAGGTTTAAAACAATATAAGGGTGAGTAAATGATGACAGAATTTTGATTGTGGGCGAACTACCACTTTAACTTCTTTTACACCACACTAATCATAGAAACTCCCCTTTAGGAATCAATCAAATTCATCAAATCCAAAAACCAGTTCATTAAAAGCCAGCATGAAGTCTCTTACCATATCAGCCAGTGCAATGTAGAGGAACATGCCCCCGGCAAGAGCAAAGATCCAGTTAGGCGAGAAGTTGTTTCCAGCCAGAATGCCGAAGCCCATGCCCAGATAACAGCAGCACGCTGACAGGAAGTTAAAGAACAGCGCCTGCTGGATGCTCATGCCAGCATTTAACAAGATTACAAAATCACCTGCATCACAGCAACACATTCAGCATGTTTATGGCCATTTTTGATTGGTCATATTAACAGAAGGGTTAAAGAAGCAGTTCTACCCACCCAACTCATGTGGAAACTCCTCACATAGAATTGCCACCGACGTACTGATGCCCTGGAACACAGAAGCAGTGAAGGAGGCTCCGATAGCCAAACCATCTATGAAATTATGGAGACCGTCGCTCAAAGTGATCATCCACGCCAGAGTAGCGATGTCAGAGTATGCCCTGCCCTTCAGCCAATAACATCCACCCGTTCCAGCACCACCTGAACTCTGAGAGTCCTGCGTCAGGAACACAAACAAAAGTCGTCAATATGCACTTCGGTTCAAACGTTTGGGGGAGATCTTTTTATGCTTATACTCATCAATGCTGCATTTATTTGATCAACATTCTTTTTATAAACTGTAATACTATGAAATTACTACAATTTGAAATTACACTTCAAAACATAATCAAACTGAAAACAGTTATGTATTCCTGAATTTGTCACATGATCCTTCAGAATTCGTTCTAATATGCTGATTCGGTGCTCAATTAACATTTGATGAATATGAAGTTTAGAATTACAGCATTGGTCTGAAATAGAAATATTTTGTAATAAAATAATGAGTTTTTATTTCGTTTGTACTTGCTGAATAAAAGCATAATTTTCTTTAAAAAATCCTACTGACCACAAATATTTGCAAGGTAGTGTAATTAATCAGTAGCACCTCATTGCAGTACGCAAGATCCAGGGGGCGGAGTCGGATTAGTTGGGTAGGTTTAGGGGTGGGTTTAGGGATCAGGGGGTGGAGCTGGGTAGGTTTAGGTATATCTAAGGTGGGAGGAGTTGGATCTGGATCCGACTCCTCCCCGTGGATTTCATGTTCTGCAGTGAGGACCATGTCTAATTAATAGCCAGTAGCATTTGACTGAATTGTGGAACATCTTCTTTTAGCTCCTGTAGGGTTCTTTTAGCTCACATAAGAAACAATGCGTTAGAGATTGATGCCTTATAATGAAAATTATGCCTTTTTTTTCCTTAAAAAACCCCCACACACACTACTGATGAACAGTGCTGATTAATCATGCCGCACTCAAGATGTGCTGAACTGATGGTAATTACAAGCTGACAACACTAAGATGCTGGTCACATCCTCAGAACCAGAAAAATGTGTTCATGGCAACGCTTGCAACATGACAGGCTTTGATGTTAATGAAAGCAAAAGCACTAATATTAATTCACTTCTATATGCTCTTGAAACACATTATATTAATTTAGAAAATGTGGCATACTAAAATGACATCAAAGTGTGCAGCGGTACTCGAGTACCTTGGCTGTTGAAACCATACATGCCATCATTAGCCATTAGAGTTCATTGAATTCAGAGTTGTAATTATGAATATTAGAAAAAGTCCTGGACCGTTTTTAGAAGTTGGAAATCCATAATTACAGTAATTCTGGCATGACATTAATCTTAAAGAGGCCATATTATGCTCTTTTTCAGAGTCTTAAAGGAGTAGGTCACTTTAAAAAAACTTTTGCTGATAATTTACTCGCATGTCATCCAAGATATCCATTTTTTTCTTTCTTCAGTCGAAAAGAAATTAATTTTTCTCCATATAATGCACTTTACTGGCCACCAAATGGTTCAAGGTCCAATAGTCAGTTTCACTGCAAACTGGAAACTGTTCAAAGGGCTTTAAGTTTAAATGATTCTAGACGGTGAATAAGGGTCTTATCAAGCGAAACGATCGCTCATTTAAAAAATAAATAACAAAGTTTAAGTTTTATAAGCACTAATGCTAGTCTTGCTCCTTTCTGTGATGCACGTTCGTGACTCTCCTGTTTGAACTTGTTCATCAAAATGAACAAATCTATTTTTCGAGTCATTAAATGATCGAATTGACACGGAAAAAGATTTGTTCATTTTGATGGAACAGGAGAGTCACGAATGCGCATCACAGAACATAGCAAGGCGACCATTTGAGCTTATAAAACTTAAACTTATTTATATTTAAAAAAAGACAGATCATTTCCCTTGATAAGACCCTTATTCATCGTCTGGAATCGTTTAAAGCCCTTTTGAACAGTTTGCAGTTTGCACTGAAACTGTCTTTTGGACCTTGGACTGTTTGGTTCCCAGTAGAGTCCATTGTATGGAGAAAAATCCTGGAATGTTTTCATCAAAAACCTTAATTTCTTTTCGACTGAAGAAAGAATGACATGGACATCTTGGATGACATGGGGGTGAGTAAATTATCAGCAAACGTTTTTTTTTTTAAGTGAACTACTCCTTTAATTTTGTTTTTGGGATTTACAAGAATAGGTTTTCATACTTGAATCGAATGTTTTAAAAAAAACACATTCTTAAGCACATAATTTACATTGTTGCAACGCCTCTCTTTCCAGGAACACTCAACTGTGACGAGCGCGTTTTGGAAATGTCACACCCACAGCTTCAAGGTTCTACACACTAACACAACTCAACCAGGCTTCACACATTTTCATATGTGTTTGGTGGAAATTATTTAACCGAGGAACACTGTGACATGTACGTTCATGGAAGAAAACTCAAGACTACAATCGAGGCGTTTCAAAGGGAGTTCAGAAACAGTGCTTACTGATTTAGAGAATAACTACTATTAGAGTGACTTTTCACGCTCAAACAGCAACATTACAGACTAAAAGATGAAAATGTAAAAAATATATTGGAGTAGTGTTCATCATATTGTGAAGTTGTCTTCGAGACATAATGGGGGACGTTAATAGTCATTCAAGCTTAATCAATTAACTCCACAAGTACTAAATTTGTTATCAGATTTCATTTATTTATTTTAGTATGTGCGATTTGGAATAGCACTGGAAATTATCATTTAAAAGAGTAGTTCACTTTTAAAAAAACTTTTGCTTATAATTTACTCACCCCCATGTCATCCAAGATGTCCACGTCTTTCTTTCTTCAATTGAAAAGAAATTAAGGTTTTTCTCCATATAATGGACTTCATTGGGAACCAAACGGTTCAAGGTCCAAAGGAGAGTTTCAGTGCAGCTTCAAAGGGCTTTAAACGACACCAGACGATGAATAAGGGTCTTATCTAGGACCCTTCGAGTCATGACTCGAAAAAAGATTTGTTCATTTTGATGAACAAGTTTGAACAGGAGAGTCACGAACGCTCATCACAGAACAGAACATGGCGAGCATTTGTGCTTATAAAACTTAAACTTTGTTATTTATTTTTTAAATGAGCGATTGTTTCGCTAGATAAGACCATTATTCATCGTCTGGTGTTGTTTAAAGCCCTTTGAAGCTGCACTGAAACTCTCAATTGGAACTTGAACCGTTTGGTTCCCATTGAAGTCCATTATATGGAGAAAATCCTGGAATGTTTTCATCAAAAACCTTCATTTCTTTTAGACTGAAGAAAGAAAGACATGGACATATTGGATGACATGGGGGTGAGTAAATTATCATCAAAAGTTTTTTTTTAAAAGTGAACTACTCCTTTAAGAAATGTTGTTTTATTTCTCACCTGTACGGTCTGCCCAGTACTCAGCATTTTGTCGTCTTCTCCAACCCCTCTGACATCTCCTTCCACTCTGGGTAAAGATGCTCCTCCAGCCTCTCCGTTCTGCAGTTTCTCCATCACACCATCCTCCAAGTCACCATTAGAGCTGGCATAGCGCTCTGCAGGGAAGTGACTGTGGCCGTGGCCATGCCCTCCCTAACAAAAGAGAAATTTCGATAACAAGAAGGGCCAGAGAAAGTGAATAAGCTTGCAAAGAAAATCCTCCACTAGAGGGTGCTGCATTACAACCATCACAATCTCAAAAGCAAGTTTAAATGATAAATCATTAAATAAAATGCTCTGCCCAAGACTGTAATAAAACCCTGAATGTATTTTTATGAGTATTTAGCTCATTTTTAACATCTAACAGGAAGACATTTTCTTTCAAAGGATAATACAAGTAAAAAGTGCAGCCTCTGAGGAACAAAAATCAATCACAAACATTTTGTACATACTGTTCACACATTCCAATGCACAACATCATGAGTTTGAACTTTTAAAAGTTCTTAAGTGATGGCAAACAACTCAAATTTTGTTTTAGATGTCACTGGGAACTCATGTCACAATGACAATGTCAGTCAGATAAAGCTGTTTGCTAAAAAAACACACAACCATTTCATGGTTTACTTGTATAGAAGACTATTAGTTAAAAACCTCACCTTTTCCTTTGGCTTTAAGATCATCTTCAGGACTTTTTCTGTAAAGAAGAACAGGTAGAATCCTCCAAACACAACAGCAGACTTGGACACGTAATAATCCTCCATAGGGTCGAATCCAAAGGCCTACATGAAGAAAAAAAGTTTACTCAAATACAATTTTACTCAAACTAATTTAATACAATCATAATAATATAGTATTTGTTTTTAACCTTATATATATATTTTTTTTCCATAAAACTAGCAAAAAATTGTATGTAAAATGTTGAACTACAGTACCGTTCAAAAGTTTGGGGTCAGTAAGATTTTTTTTTTTTTTTAAGAAATGGATACATTAGATTGATTTCTGAAGGATCATGCGGGCATGGCTGCTACAGCTTTACCATCACAGGGAAAAAATTACATTTTAAAATAGAAAAGTTATTTTAAATTGCAATATTGCACAATATTACAGTTTTGTTATGGTATTTTTGATCAAATATAAGATAATTCTTAAAATTGGACCTCAAACCATTGAAATATAGAGTGTGTTTGTGTGTGTAGGCTGCATATAATATGTTAAAACAGAATGTGGGCAGTGTAGAATATATGCATTTAGCATGGATACAATCCAAAAACAAGCCCATAATCACTCTCCTAGACACCAAAAAATGACTCTTTCATGTGAAAACATGGTAATTTTACCAATTAATTCACAAAGAAATGAATTTACCAACTGAGAAGACAACGTATTCTTCATATTTATTTCACACTTGGTTACAAGTAGTCAAGAAGAGTGAGCATGGGATTTATTTTAGATTGGGTCTTTACACTACAGTTCACTAATGCCTCAGGGCTTCCCCCATGTTTGCTTGGCTTTTCACCAGACTGGGTCATTCATTTATAGTTATTCATTTAAATAGTTCACAAAAAGATGTGTGCTCCAGTTTCATGCCAACTTGCCTCAAAATTGTAGTTAAAGGGCATATATGATTTTAAAGGGGTCATGACATGAGAAATCAAAATTTGCATAATCTTTTGAGATAAGAGGTCTTCGCACCATTCAAACATCCTGTAAGTTTCATCTCAAAACGACTTCCTCAATATAAACATAGCATTTACTTAAGCTCCAAAAACGTCTCCATTTGATATTGCGGATCTGTGACATCACATCATAGGCTCCGCCCACTAGAGTTCAATTAACGGCTGAAATTTGCCTACACTGAGTTTGAGCATTGCGTCAAAAGCATAAATAACTTAATTTTAGAACCATATTTATATTATCACTGATGGTCTAAGCCAGAGTTTCCAAAGATACTTTTGTTGACAGAAGGAGTCATCAGTATTGGATGTATATGTAAACGATTTCATAACGCTTTGTCTGTAAATGACGGTTTCATATGATAATGTTACATGCACTGCGAGTGGGTGTTGATACTGTGTTTCCTAGTGGCCGTTTACTGACAAGCCTTAAAGGAACCGCTCCTTAAAAACTGATCATTTCACACAGACGGCCCAAGTGAGGGTTGAAAACAATCGTTCTTCCCACAAAAATATTTTTGTTCGTATTTATTAACAATAAAATCAAACCTAAAGGAACATATTAAAATAATTAAAAATCCATGTCATGACCCATTTAAAAGAAGTAGCCTGTGTTCTGTGTATGAATCAATACAAAGTTCCTTTATTGTGATTTTTTTTTTTTTTTTGCCTTCTAGCTGGGGAGAACCACTGAGGCTGGGAAAACTTAAATTTGTGTTTGAAGGGAATATTGACCTGAAAATGAAAATCCTGTAATCAATTACTCACCCTCATGTTGTTCCAAAACATACTATTTTGACTCAAAATGAGATTTTTTGTTTTGTTTTGGCAGAATGTCAACTCTGTTATTTAGTCTACAATAAGACCATTCTGGACCATTGTATACAATAAGACTAATGTTTCAGTCGCACCAACCAGCTTCTATTGAATGGCTTCAGAAAACTCTGAATATCACATACGAGTCTACTGAATTTTAATACTTTTTATCCTTTTTTGGAGTTTGGGTGGTGTGAATTACCATCCATTTTTAAAAAATAGATTTTTTTTGTCTCAAGCCAAGTCAGTTTCAAAGGGCCAGATTTACTAAACAGGGCAAATAAGAGTCGCTGCAAATTAAAAATAATGCGGCTTTGGCGAACAATATGTTTGGATTAAGTCTTTCTCTGTCATTCCAAATAAATTTATTAAAAATCCCCTCTACCACGCGCTCTCTGAAATGCAAATCTTGCCCTATAAGGCTAATGTAATGGCAAGAACAGTGCAAAATAACATCTATTGTTTTAAATTATAAACATTAAAAACAATTAACAAACATATTTAAAAGAACGAAGGAATTGGAAATGGAGGAAATTACGATTTTTAGGTGAACTTAGAAGTTTTCTTGATGTTGGATAAAACATTTTCATTTGTGTCGCACAAATTTTGAAACAACATGAGGACAAGTAAAAGAAGCGTTTTCATTTAGAGCAAACTATTCCTTTAAATGCCAGACTCAACATAACGACTCAACCAGGACATCTCTAAAAATCTAGAGAGAGTCTGGTTGTGTGGCACACGTCTATAACCCCGTATCCCACACGTGTCCACTCTACCTCTGGGATTAGTTGAAAGAGGGCGTTGGAGTACAGAGTACCAATGGCCAGGGCTATGAAGTACAGCAGCAACCGCTTGTAAAAGGTTTTCCTCATGAAGGGAACCACACTCGCCCCGACCAGTGAACACAGAGATATCACTGTCACACACAGGAAACCATACCCCCACACTGGCCAAACAACCAAAACAGAGAGCGAGAGAGCGAGAACAGGGGAAGTGGAAAAGAAAAGGAGAAAAGAAGAAAGAATATTTGAATTAATCAGCAGATTAATTAATATTATAGGTGAGAGGTTCATATTCATAATCTCAATTGTGAGATTTACTCCCCGAGGGGGTTCTGTGGCCCACTGAACTATCAAATCAATTCACATTTGAAGGAAATATGCATTATATCTTTTTAAATCAAATCTCATTCATAAACTGCATTTACTGTAGATATGATGTTCATTGATACAATGAATTAACAGCAATAAATCATAAACATTCCAGAGTCATGCTATTACACTACCATTCAAAAGTTTGGGGTCGATAAGATTTTTTTGGAAAAAAGGAGCAGTTTAAAATATGACTATTATAATTCCTAATAAATGTTTCCTGTTATTGCAAAGCTGAGTTTTTCAGGACTCTTTGATAAATAGAAAGTTCAAAAGATCAAAAACTTTTGATTATAAATGTCTTCAGTTTCACTTTGGATCAATTTTCAAATGAAAATGAAAAAAAAAGAATGACTCCAAACTTTTGAACAGTAGTGTGTGTGTTCACATTTTACAATCCATTGTTTCATTCACAGAGGAAGTAGGGGGAGGCGGCTTCCTGTTGACCATCACAGAACAAATGATGCCTTAAGACACGAGGTCACTGAAAATCATTCAATCCTGATGGGACAACTAAACATTCCCATACAATTCCCAGAGGCAACAGAGGAACTGCAAACACCTGTAATTATGCTGACCAGTCAATGAACCATCAACACCCAGCACAAGGGATACCTGTATAGGTCTGTTTGAGCAATGACATCCCCAACAACAACCCAACAAAAAAACATCCTGGGACATGCAGCACTCCATTAGATCTATGGGATTTCCATAGCTGACGAGCTAGTGAATGAATTGTTAGTGGTCTACTTTTAAGGCACTATTCATGGGCAGAGGAACAATTTGAAAAGCGGTGGAGGCAGATTAGGGCAGAGGGTATTGATCTTCTCCCAAAAGTTGTGGAAGAAACAAACAAACATCAAACATTAGGTTGACTTGGGGCGAGTTGCATAAACTGCTAAGACTAGTCTTACCAGTTAGTCATCCATTTTTTTTTTCTTCAAGACTGTTACATAAACGGTTACATAAAAACATACATAGGTCTAATTTGATCCCGAACAGTAAGACTGATTACCCCTAACTAACTGCTAGTTGGTCAACTAGTTCTTAAGACACTGTCTTAACATAATGGCTATGTTTAAGCAACTGGCCCTTGGACAATCCAAACCCCTCCTAAAGCTTTCAAGGTTCACCAAACTCGACTGTCCTGGCTGTTGCCAATTTAACCATCATATTTCAAAATATTCAAGCAACACAAAATGCAAAGTAAAAAAAAAAAAATCTGATTCCATCACATTTCACTATTCATGGGTCGTCTTTTTGTTTTTTTGTTTGTTTGTTTCAATTTGAGTTGCGAACGGCTTAAGATTAAAGGAGTAATTCAAAAAAAAAAAAATTTTTGCTGATAATTTACTCACCCCCATGTCATCCAAGATATCCATGTCATTCATTCTTCAGTCGAAAAGAAATTAAGGTTTTTGATTAAAAGATTCCAGGATTTTTCTCTATAATAATGGACTTTACTGGGAACCAAACGGTTCAATGTCCAAAAGACAGTTTCAGTGCAAACTGCAAACTGTTCAAAAGGGCTTTAAACGATTCCAGACGATGATTAAGGGTCTTATCAAGTGAAACGATCGGTCATTTAAAAAAAAAAAAAGTAATAACAAAGTTTAAGTATTATATAAGCTCAAATGGTCGCCTTGCTCTGTTCTGTGACGCGCGTCCGTGACTCTCCAGTTCGAACTTGTTTAACAAAATGAACGAGTCTTTTTTCGTGTCATTTGGTTTATTCAATGAACGAAATGAACGAGTTGACTCTGGAAAAGATTCCTTCATTTTGAATAGGAGAGTCACGAACGCGCATCACAGAACAGAGCAAGGCGAGCATTTGAGCTTACAAAACTTAAACTTTGTTATTTTTTATTTTTTTTAAATGAGTGACCCTTTCGCTTGATAAGTCCCTTATTCATCGTCTGGAATCGTTTAAAGCCCTTTGAACAATTTGCAGTTTCCACTGAAACTGTCTTTTGGGCCTTGAACTGTTTTCTCCATTATAAAAATCCTGTAATGTTTTCATCAAAAACCTTAATTTCTTTTCGACTGAAGAAAGAAAGAAAAGGATATCTTGGATGACATGGGGGTGAGTAAATTATCAGCAAAAGTTTTTTTTAAAAGTGAACTACTCCTTTAAGTCATAATTTTCAAGTGGTCTTAAACACAAAATTATCCATTTTATAAATTAATGATTAAAAAAATGAAAAATACAATAAAATAAAGTATCCTTTGAACAAAAATAAGCTTGGAAAATGCCATAAAAACAGCATTAATAAAACGGATGATTCAATCTATTAATGGGTCTTTTTTAGCCATCTGATTTTGCCGGTCGTTGTCAGCCATTATTTATAAATAAAATTATCAGCTGTTAGACTATACGAGTAAGACTGACCGTAAACAGAAGTTTTAACAGCTTTTATGGTCCTAAAAAAAATGTACCAACAAAACAATCATGGAAGAAATAAAGGCAACTGGAGAGGAAGAGGAAACAACCAGATTAAGAGGAGTCTTTACTGTGGTTACGGGTGTTTTGTTATGTATAAAAGGGAGAAAACATTGTGTAAAGGAGGACAGAAGGAAAAAAAGGCGACAATTCCAGACACCCCTCTGAGATTAATCTTGATCCGCGGTTGATTTGGTGTGTTTGGGTGGAAATAGGTGGATGGATACTAAACCTCAGGCAGGAGCTGTAGGATGGCAGTGGACAACAACGTTCCGATGGACAGCGCGATGAAATAGATGAGAACTCTGTGCATGAACCGCGTCCTCATCAGGGGCACCACAAAAACACTGGTCAAAGCGAATGCACTAACCAGAGTCACACTCAAAATTGAGTAACCCCACACTGCAGGACACACACACACACACATACACCTTTTAATGACATGACATGACACCCCGTGCAGAGACATCCCACAGCTTTTGTGTGCACGTGGATTATGGCATTTATTTCAGTCTGGCTGCACTTGTCTGTTATTGAACCCAGTCGAACTGGAATCCCTAGAAATACAAGATATCAGTCACAATACACTCCTGAATAGACACGTGTGCAGTATGAGAGATGTCATTATGTGGGAGTGGATCGAGGCATTCTCTGGCTTTCTCTAAAAGCTGAATTTGTTAACAGCGGAGAACAGCTGACAGCACTTTACCTATAGAGAAGAAGAAAATCATTCATAACACACTGAAGCATTTAGAAAAAATCTCTCTTTCAAATAACAGCAGTAACATGGACTCATAAACTAAAAAAAAAAAGAAAAAAGTGACACTGAGTGCGTTTACATAAAACATGGATAATTGGTTACTTTCTTCAACATCTTAAGGAGTTTTTTTTTTTTCTGGACACTGTTACAACATACTTATTTATTTCTGGAAAGATCCTTTGGGACATGAAAGCTCATTATGAAAATCCAAAAACCTAAGAAAACCATGTCTACATTAGACTTGATGTACTACGGTCACAATGTCAAATCGTGAACAGGTTAGAAAAATGGGTTTTTGCCTATATGACCCGATAAAATCCACCGTATAAGCATTTAAATTACCTTTAATATCACCAGCTTATTGACCATAATCAGTTTGTGTGTTTAAATATCCATTGAGGCGGTTTTCAAAGTTATTTGAAGGAATTGTTCACCCAAAAAATAAAGATTCTGTCATCATCTCCCATTAATTATATAGACTGTGGTGGCCCATCTAATCGGACACACCAGTTTCATGATCTGAAAATATATTTACATTTCTCATAATAACATTACATTTTTTGTGACATTGCTTTGGCAAAGCATATGTCAATCAAACTAAAATATCGCGACCCAGCTTAGTGCTCTCTTCAAATCGCAAAAGTCTGTGATGTATGGCAGATTTCCTTTGTTTTTTACATTACATAATTTCCAACATTTCTGTGGACAGATGATTTCACTAGACTTATAAAATAACGTTTGTAAACCTGTTGTCACAGAAACTTAACCTCGAGACTTAGCTCGAGAGTTTAACTCTTGCAAGTCAAGAAAGTATAACACTATTGTGACTTTACTACTGTAAAGTTAAATTCTCATGAAATATTCTTTTTTCATTTACATTTATTTTACAGTCCAGATTCACAAATGTAATATATCACGGTCTACAATAATGACCAAAATGGTTTGGCTTCCTAAAAACACCAGTGTGAATGAGGTCTGGACTGAGACACTATTATACTTGTAAAGTATAATATATAAAGAGGTTGAGTTCACTATAAAGTCAATGCATAGATTTTTTATTCTGAGCAAGGTCCACTTCCAAAGGTATGCAGTATTTGCCCATTCAGTGCAAGTCAATGGGGTCCAATGTTGTTTGGACAGCAATGTTCTTCAAATATCTTCTTATCTATTTCACAGAAGACAGAAAGTCATACAGTTTTGAAACGATATGAGGGAGAGTAAATTATAACCGAATTTTCATTTTTGGGAAGGACTGTCCTTTTAGGTTGTTTATTGTAAAAACATTCAGCAATCTGCTTTTATAAGGAACAAAATGAATTTTGAAATGTTTCAACTGTAAATGTTTTCAAATACCTGTGCAATTTTTTTTTTTTTTTTTATGTACTAGTATTGTATTAGAAAGTATCATTTTGGGACTCCAAATGAACACCTGAAAGGTTCCCACATTTTGTAGTGGGAAGGGTGAGAGAACCAAAACTAAAATGAACACATGCATGCTATGTTATATTTTAAAGCACACTGAGCTGTGCCACTTATGCAAATGATCCTGGTTTGGGCCTGGCATGCATCCTGCTTTAATCTTATTTCCTGTCCCAAACCACCAGAGATACCCTGGCTTTCTTTGGTTCACGAACAAAGTAAATACTCAGAACAAAACGTATTACCATCACTGTGCCATGGTGCCAGTACAGAACTTTTTGTTAAGAACTGAATGGGATAGACTGCATTAAGAATAGGATGCTATAAGACTGCACACATTTCTCCCTCTCCTTATCTCCTGAATTCCAGCGGGAAGTGGCACTGCGACAATCTCCTTCCATTTTGCATCCCGCTGCCAGGATGCACAAGAAACGTCAAGTGACTTGTTTAGCAGATAAAGAACAGCATGAGGTAAAGTGACAGGAAATATTACTGAGCCAGAAAATACGGTGCACAGATGTTAAACGTGTTTGGAGGCTGATTAAAAACAAGAATTTCAATATATTAAACAAATAATCCGTTATAGGCATGGTTTATTTTAGGTTAAGTTGAACACAAAAACTATAAAGCTATCAAATCACAGATTATAGAGTGTATGTGAAATAGTCTTCATGACTTTCTCTCCTGAAATGTCCCAGCAGGCTTCACACACGCCCATGAAATTCTCTAAACTCTCTGTCTTGCCTTTTTATATCTGTCGCCTACACAGGGGATATTTCAGTTCAGCCTTAGAAAGACTCCCTTCAATTCTCCCTTCTGACCAGAGTACTGTGATTGAATCCAGATGTAGCTGGCATCTGAAATATACAAGCTAGCTATTTTAAAAGTCAAGATGTCTTATTTTGAAGTGCCAGCACATATATGCCTCATTCTATCTATGTGACCCCAAAAGTGTTTCACCAAAAGAGGAATCTGTTAAGAACTGGAATCTAAAAGGATCATCTCTATATGAAAATAAAATACTGAGCATTTAATATCTTGGTTTCCTTCTTTTGTGTTTTTAATTTTCTTTTTAAAATAAATCTAAATCGTAATTTTTAGCTGGGGACCTCTGGTTGAGTTGACAAGGAATGGCCTCATCACATGAACTATATGAGAATGATTATCTACTCATAAATCATGATTTCAACAAAAATATTAAGCAGCACAACTTAAATTAATATTTAAACAACAATTTATATTTAAACAATATGAATGTAAGCCAGAGGAGAACTGGCCCCCGACTGAGCCTGGGTTCTCCCAAGGTTTTTTCTCCATCCAATCTGATGGAGTTTGGTTCCTTGCCACTGTCGCCTTGCTTTTGGCTTGCTTTGAGCTTGCTCAGTTGGGGTTATTTAGTGTTTAGCAATGTTGTTGATCTGTGTTGTGCTACTTTCATGTTATCACTGTGAAGCTGCTTTGATACAATCTGTATTGTGAAAAGCGCTATATAAATAAATGTGACTTGACTTGACTTGACAACTGTTTTATAATGATAAAAACAAGAAATGCATCTTGAGCACTAAATCAGCATATCAGAATGCTTTCTGAAGGATCATGTGACACTGAAGGCTCTGAGTAAAGATGCAGAAAATCACAGGAATAAATTGCATTTTAAAATATATTCAAATAAGGGGGGGGGGGGGTAAATATCATAAAGTGTGATATTTAATTGTACCGTAATATATTATTGACTGAAAGACATGAACTGTGTTATACAGCTAAGGTTTTATGTGCTTGTGCCATCTTTCTAAAAACTAAAATAAATGCCAGTTGCTTAGATATTTTGTTTTCTAATTCATTAACGTTTTCCAGTTTACAAAGAGTTGACTATTCTTATCACACTTTAACTGGAGATCAAGGCTCAACATAAGAGAACACCGGCACTTTTCCGACCCTCTCAGTCAGAGTTCAAACTAAATCAGCTGATCCACTGTATTTTAAAGTAAAAGATTGTCTACAGTGATCAACAGATATAAACTAGACTAGTCTGCTATATTTGCCAAGGTGTTGATCTTTATCTATATTGATACATTTTAACACCTGACATTACCTGGGGACGTGCAACATGTGACGGTTTAAAAAAAACCCATTACAAGATCTGTTAAATGTCATGGCATCTTGCAGCGCAAAGATTAACAATCCTCTTGAAAGTTTTACCTGATTGTTATATAGGTATAGCTACAGTAAAACAGTCAAATATGGGTAAACATATTATAGATATCTTTAATACTTCTTAAGTTAAAGGCAATGAAACCTTCGGAAAAGTGCTTTTCCCATTTTTGAACGGTCACGGTTGGCACATAATGCAACAAGGACTACTATCTATCTCTGTGTATATTTTTGACCCCCCCCTTCCTGACATTTTGACCCCTCTCTACAGAATAGTGGATAACTCAGTAAATATTCATAGCATTTATATAGCACTTGCATCTAGAGCATTTAATATTTTGTCCTTCTTCTTCATTTATGTATTTGTTTCATGAGAATATATATATTTTTTAATCAAAATATTTTTTATCTGAATTTTTTTTTTTTTTTTTAAAGTACACTACTGTTCAAAAATTTGGGGTCGGTAAGAATTTGTTTTGGAAATAAATGATTACTTATGATTTCAACAAAAATATTAAGCAGCACAACTGTTTTATAATGATAATGATTTCTGAAAGATCACGTGACACTGAAGACTGGAGTTATGGAGCTTTGACATCACAGGAATAAATTACATTTCAAAATATATTCAAGTGATAATAACAAGAATAAAAACTATCATTTCAAATTGTGATATTTAATTGTAATATTACTGACTGAAACATTTGAACTGTATTATATAGCTAATGTTTTATGTGCTTACGTCTTTCCTAGAGAACCAATACATCAAAGCAACTCGCATTTCTTTTGTTTTTTTATTACATTTCTATGTTTTTTCAGTTTTCAAAGAGTTGACTATTCTTATCACACTTTAACTGGAGATCAAGGCTCAACATAAGAGAACACCTGCACTTTTCCGACCCTCTCAGTCAGAGTTATTAAACTAAATCAGCTGATCCACTGTATTTTTCCCAGAAGCCTAAAGTCAAAGATTGTCTACAGGGATCAACAGATATAAACTAGACTAGTCTGCTATAAATATGCCAAGGTTTATCTATATTGATACATTTTAACACATGGGGACGTGCAACATGTGACAGTTTAAAAAAAAACCCAACAAGAACTGTTAATAAGTGTCATGGCATTCACAGTGTGCACAAATCTCACATATTACATATTAAAATCAAAATATGTTGACACCTGCACACAAATATGTGATTCTTGAACAATTCATTTTAAAACCATGGCTTGCATGTTCAATGAAGTTCAGGTGGCATATAAATGGACTTTATTGTGCATAAATCATCTTTAAATGTTTGTTTAAGGAGATGTGTGATTTGTTACAGCAAAAACAGTCAAATAGGGGTGTACATAAACTTTTGGCAATGTTGTGACTGATAATAATAATTAGGCATCATCAATTACATTATCTACAGTTTCTCAATGGATAGTGAGTCTTACCCTCAGCGTAAGTGGGTCTGGGGCTGGTCTCGGACTCTTGGTCCTGTTGGGTCTTGCATGCTTGTGAGTCCAGCTGCTGTATCATGGTAGGGCAGATCTCCTGCAGGCCTCGTTCGTCTATACGAGACTGTTCGCTCATCCCATACGCTGCCAGAGTGTCTACAGCCAAGCACTGAGAGCAGAGGACAGGACAGAGGTTTGAATTACTGATTACAGTGGAGAAGCTTCAATTACAGCATTGAGAGTGCAGCGTTTGTGCCGGAGCTGTCGCAGCACAGGACAGAAACCAAAGACTTGACCCTGAGGTCAAACAATGTAACATTTCGATTCAGGTTCAAGAACGTTAAAGAAATATCGAAGAAAATAAGAAAAACATATTTCCTAAGCCGTGTTTACGGCTTCATCTGAAGCATAAATTGCTTTAAATATTCAATTATGAACATGGAAAGATGATATTATAATATGAAATAATGAAAAAATAAAAATACATATGCTGTCAAGAGAATTAAATTAAAATTTAGTATATCTTTTAGACAAAATATTTACAAGAAAATATATTATTCACTAAAAGTGACCTATTATTATAATTGTCTTTAAGAGCTTTAATTTTCAAAAAACACATTCTTTTTAACATATTTTTTTAACATTATTGCAGCACCTCTCTACCCAGTCTGTCAGAAATGCTGTTTAGCTCCTGTCTCTATGAAGCACCCCTTCTTAAAAGCAAAATGTACTCTGATTGGACGGCTGCTGGACCAGTGTGTTGTGATTGGTCAACTGCTTTGAGAGCGTTTTGGAAATGTCATTCCCCTAACCATAACCATGAGTTAACACACTACTAACATACATAACCAGGTTTCGTCCCTTTTTTCCTTGGCAGAAAACTTGGACTTTGTGCTTTAAAACTTTGCAGACCATCACACTCAGAAAGAAAGATGAAAATTAAAAAAAAAAAAAAGCATAACAGGACAGGACCCCTTTAAATTTGATAAAAGTTTAGAACAATCTAGGTCACAGCTGTTTGGCTGACAAAAATGAATTAAAAACAAACCCAGGTAGCATTTTATTGTTATATTAATTTATTGAATAAACTCAACATTTTTGTTTAATGAATGGTGAATGGTGAACAATCCATTCTTCAAGGAACAAAATGTTGTGCACATCGTGCTGATATTCCATTTGTGGTCCTTGTAAAAGTTCCACATTTACACAAAAATAATGACGGCTCAAAATGGCCTATTATCAGTGTGGAAAAACCGATACAGTACAATGTGTTATTCTTGGCTAACTTACAGCTTGAGAGCTGGCACAAGAGATAAAGCCTCTAAAAAAACCTTAAACTTAATAACATCGAGTGTAAATGTCAAACCAAAGACAAACATTTGAGGTTTTGAGTGGGTCTACTTACTTAACACTCAGTTAATGTTGTAATACCAGGGATTAAAATAAATATACATACATTTACGTTTTTTCCCCCCAATTATTAATGAAACTTTTGTTTAAAAAAAAAAGTGACAAATACTTGTATATAGTTTCAAATAAATATGGTTCTTTCACTCTTAAAAAGATTTCACGCAGCACTTGTTTTCAACATCAATGCTAATATACAATTTCATTAAGTATCATCAAATCAGCATATTAGAATGGTCTCTGGAGCATCATGATACAGATACACAGGTGAAATATTAGAATAGCATACAAAAGTTTATATATTAGTTTCACCCTTTTAAGTTGAATTACTAAAATAAATTAACTTTTGCACGATTTTCAAATTTTTTGAGATTCACCTGTATAGATATCGCGACCAATTGCATGCGCCAGTTAAGGATATTAAGCAAGCCTTCTTAACAAATCAGGCTCTCTCTATATTTATGAAAACTGACAATAATATAAATCAGTTGATATAAATGTATTTATATCATTTAGAATATATCTTTTAAAGAAAGCTACAACTCCTGACCTAACTGTTCACTGATTGGTGTTGTGACAGTTGGTGTGGCAGAGGATTAGACGTCTGGCATGTCTTATAAAGCACCCTGAGAAGATCAGACTCTTTCGTGTTAGGAGTGAATGAGGACCGACACTGAGCTTTAAAAGTATTTAAAACATCCCTCGCAAACCAAAGCATGTGAACCAATGAAGGAAAACGGGATCTTTTTAACTTGCCATAAAGAAGGTTACAATCTGGAAACAGTTGGCTAATGTCCATATATAAAAATGTTTATTATATGGATAAAAAAAATGTAATAAAGTAAAAAGAGGGTGGGAAATTGATATTCTTGCGATGGCATGCGAATGCCAAGTATCTTCCAAATACTTGATTTTCATATTCAAATTCATACAAGAGAATCCATAGTGCATTGAACACAAAATGCATGTATTTGTCTGTGCAACAAGTAAGCAACCAATCAGAGGCAGGGAAGATCCAACAGTCATTTAGACTGTGAAAATACTCTCTGGGTAATAAATACATATAAAGATACAGTCCAAATTTTCTGTAACCATTTTGACTCACCTTAGATCCATTGGTTTTGGTGGGCTGTGTTTGTGCGTCATGGTCTCCACTCAGTCCTCCATTTAACCGTATGAGGAGCGCTCGGAGCTGAGGGACAGAGATGCTGGTGTTGTCACCATAGCGTGTCAGCAGCTCCTGAAGGACTTGAGTAGGAGACAGTCCATCCTGACCACTAACATCTCTTACTGGCCATTGGAGCAGTCCTAGAGTCAGTGTCAGGCTTATGGTCAAGGTCAGCTGTTTGCAGCCATTTGCTTGTCTCAGGGTCATGACTCTACCAGCAACACGTTGAGCACTGCATAGACATATAGAAGGGTGGAAAAAGAGATGAGAAAACAAGGTATATTAATAAGAATGACATAATGGCTATTATTTCACAGAAACCATATCTTTAAAGTGTGTTAAATCAAAATTTACATGATTTTCTTTCTAAATAAATCTGCATAGGTACTACACATCATTATAAATGTGTGCCGGTTTCAGAATTGGTGATGACGGTTATGAGTCAAATGTGACGGTTCGTAACATAACCGTTCTCGTCGTCCAGGACGTTCGGTTGAATAACTGTTCGTCTGTTATAGGACAACTTAGTTTGAATAAACAAGCAGACACTGATTAGCTACTCGCTCTGTATATTTAATATGAACAGCAAGACAACTAGAAGTGAATGTGCTTTCCATTAAATTAAATCACACAGAGTAAACAAATCCAAAAAATACAAAAAAACATTGCCATTTAGACGTGCCAACTATGTGCCGGTGCGGTGAGACGTACAAGCCATTCATGAACCAATGTGAATGACAATCTGACAGTTGATTGGCCAGCGCTGCATCATCACGACTCACGAATGTTTAAGCATTGACAAGATTCAAGAAGACTCGAAAGGGTTACTAACTTCTCACATGTGAGTCACAAACACTGGTTAATTGGCCCCGAGGGGGCCCCTTCTGAACAGGTCCCAAAGCCTACTGGAAATACGCAGCTGTCAAAATGAATCAAAATCCCTGGAAGCAATAGGGATACACAGTTTTTCAAAACAAAATCAAAATTAAATCAATTTCAGCCCTATGCGTGTATCCAATATTTCCGGCCTTGGTCAATAAATATTTATTGTGATCCATCATAAAAACATTTTAAGTTAAGTGCCAAAAAGCTAATCTTAGCTAATTCTTGTTATAGTTTCCATCCACCTCATCTTATATAATCTGCTTCATATTAATCATTAAAATTTTTAAGTGAACATTAACTGCAAATAACAATTTACAACAGATGCCAATTCTTTTTTTGATAGTATTTCTTTGTATAGAGATGAATTGTGTCAAATAAATCCCAATGTTCAAATTTCAGATAAGAGCAACCAAAGGAAACAAAAGTTCTGATTCCAAAAACCATATGGGAATTTAAATTTCAGATGTCTTTGTAGTGTTTAAGGATCAATGCTGCGTTCACGTGTTATGGAAAATAGGATAGTTTCCACTTGTGAACTGGTATTTACCAGTGTGTAGCGTTCACGTGCTTTTGTTGTCCTAATGTGGTAAAAAGATGGAGATCCAGACCTGTTATTGAGCTAAAACTATTTTAGATTGCTTAAAGGGTTAGTTCACCCAAAAATGAAAATTAAGTCATTAATTACTCACCCCCATGCTGTACCAACCCCGTAAGACCTTCGTTCGTCTTCGGAACACAAATGAAGATATTTTTGATTAAATTTGAGAGCTGTATAACTACCACATTGGCTCCTAAAGGACTGCCTCTTGACGGCCCAGAAAGACAATGAAGAAAATGTTTAAATATCCCAAGTGACTACCGTGGCTCAACTATATGTTTATCAAGCGACGCGAATACTTTTTGTGCGAAAAAACAAACAAAAATAACGAGTTTATTCGACTATTTCTTTTCTTCCTTGTAGGCCAGAACGAGACTTCCTTAGATTTCCACGACGCATGCGCGAGATTTGCGATCTGAAGTAGTGTAAGCTGGTGTGAGCAGATCGCAATTCTCGCGCATGCGTCGTGGAAATCTATAAGGAAGTCTCGTTCTGGCCTACAAGGAAGAAAAGAAATAGTCGAATAAATTCGTTATTTTTGTTTGTTTTTTCGCACAAAAAGTATTCGCGTCGCTTGATAAACATATAGTTGAGCCACGGTAGTAAGCCTTCGAGCCAAAGAAGTTAAGCCTTACCAACTTAAATATTCAAAGTACATTGTCAAAATGCCGTCCTGTCGATCATCATCGTAAACATGGTTGGCTATGTAATAAGTGACCATAAACGTGAGGAAATGCATGTGTATTTTTCAACTCGGGCGGCAGACGCGAATCCACGTCAAACGCGTGAATGCACAAATGGCACTAACTAAATAATTCACGCTTATTCACGTGAACTTGACGCGCGAATGAGGCTATACTTTATGAGGCTATACTTTACGAGCGAAACGAGTCTTTGCATTGACTTAACATTGAAATCATTCGCGCCTGACGCGCTATTCGCGTCCGTTGTGAACGCACCACAAGAGTATATTGGATTTGAGCAACTCTTAAAATGACAGCAGCCAAATATTCCTGAGCTGCTGTCTGTTTTTATGTTATGTTAATGAAAAGACAAAAAAAAAAAAAAGAAAATTCACTCACTGCTCTCGACTGATTAACTTTTATAAGGGTCTAAATGTATACAGTGAAAGACTTTGCGTGATATTTTACATATAATTACTAGTTCTGCACCTGAAAATCTAGTTTAGACTTGTATGAAAGGTTTATGAATTGGTCAAAGCACTTATAACAAGGCAAGCAGACAAGGCAATAATGCAGTTGAAAAAGCAAACCAAAACAGGATGCCTCTGTCAATGGGGTTTGGGAAAATTGCCAAAACAAACTACATTTTTGTTCACTTAAATATTACTTTGGTATAATTACAGACACAATGATTATTTAGGGGATTCTCTCCTGAATCTTTAAAGTGTGTACATGACCCATGACTCACCTGCACTAGGGTTAATCTGGGTCAAACAGACTGAACTGAAGTGCCATTAAACCTTCACAAAGGACCTTCGAGAAATGGCACTTAAAAATCAGCCAAGGCTAAGTTGCTTAACCGTAACTTTGCCAGATCCTTGCTGACTGTCAAAGAAACACAGAGAGTAAAGACAGCGAGCGTCTTCAAAGATCAGACAAAAGTGTGCTTTTGAAGGAAAAGTGAATGTTAACTATAAGGTCAATACTGATTGTCATCAAGTCAATATGAGGAAATAACTAATGGCTTTTAAATGTGAGTTTATGAAATGTATCTGGTTCAATATTGTTTCTTCAGCAGCATGATGCGTTAGCAATCCAGACTCACAAACAGGGTGTAAATTACTGTGTAAACGTGCATGAGAATGTTTATCAAGAACACCAGGGTGCATGAAAGGAGAGGTTAACCAAGCCATGCTGACGTTGGTTGAGGTACGCTGACGATGCTGATGCTCATGAGACAGAGGAAATGTGATGCTCGATGGCCTATTGATAATTTATGAGGGCCTCCAAAAAGCAAGTTGTGTTTCTGTAGTACAGCACACACCTTTGATCATCTGACAACTCAAATAATTGTAAAATAGCCACATTGTTGTGAACACACTGTCACAACAATGCACCTTGTATCTCAGATAACGGCAGGGGGTTATAAAGACCCGGTCTGAGCCTATTTCAGGACACAAGATAAGTCATTGAGAAGAATGTCTGGTATTCAGTCTGAAGTGAGATTGTCTAGCTGTTGCATTCGTATAACGAATAATCAGTAGGCCTAAACACTGAACAAGTGCATTTGAATTTATGGATTAATGTAGAGCCAGACCGATATATCGGCAGTTAATAATGGCCGATAAATTAATATTTCAAAAATAAAATAAAAATGGATGAAACACGCTTCAACCATGTCATGTTGGAGTTGTATAAGTTTGTCCACCAGAGGGCACTCTATAGCATCCCTTGCCTGTTGACAACACTCGTTCACAAATTCTAGCTAACCACAAAGCTAGCTAATGCCACTATCATCAATGGAATTTAATGAGCTTTGTTAATTAATTAATGAGCTTTGGTTCCTCCTCTGTTCTGTTGCAAACAAGTTTCTTTTTAAAATGCATCATCATATTATTTTAATTAAAACTTTATACATAACTACAAAAATACATAACTACAAATAACTAATGTTAGGGAAATGTGTTAATGTTTTGTTGTGTGTTCCTGAAAAAAATAAAATAAAAAATATCGGCCGATATATCGGAATATCGGATTTTAATACCAACAAATATTTGTATCGGCCTTCAGAATCCTTTATCGGTCGGGCTCTAAATCAAAGCTTTGAGAATAAAAATGGTTCTACGAGGGAAAGTATCTTTAGAAAGCATTGAGACCCATCTCACCCTAAAACGATTAAATCGTGATTAATCGCATCCAAAATAAAACATCATATATGTGGGTGCACTGTGTATAATTATTTCATATATATAAATACACACACATGCTTGTATATATTTAAGAAATATTTTCATGTATATAGATTTATATATAGTTTATATTATATATAATAAATATAAATATTTTATATATAAATAATATTTTTTTTCTTAAATATACATGCATGTGTGTGTATTTATATGAAGAGTTCAGATGCAAAAGCCTCTAAATGCCATTTGAAATTTTCTTCTTTAATGAAGATTTTTATCAAACTTGTATATTTAAGTTCAGTAATTTCACTTAAATAACAATTAATAGGTAATTATCATTGGCATTTAAGTGAAATCACTGAAATTAAATATACAAGCTTGATAAAAAATGATCATTCTAGAAGAAAATTTCAAATGGCACTTAGAGGCTTTTGCATCTGAACTCTTCATATATATATATATACAAAATAATTATACACAGTGCACCCACATTATGTAAACACAAACGCGATTAATCGTTTGACAGCCCTATTGGTAATTCAAAGAGAAATGGTAACACAACTACAAAATGACCTAAATACGTCAGGGACGACTTAAACTCACATTCCATCTGAATGTCTCCTGATTAGGAATGCAGACTAACCTGCACTCTAGTGGAAAAGAGAGCAAACCTTTCCACTTTATAGGCATCTTCACTCTGCTGACGTGTCAGGTTTTATAGCATGACTCAGGGGGAAAAAAAACAAGAGAAGTCGCAATCAACAACTAGACACCTGCTGTCAAGGAGATACTCTATGACACTCTATGAACATGCAAAAGACAACAGGGAAAACAATGGACGGAAAGGTGACGGGGGGAACGCTCTCTAAGGAAAGCACTGGAAAAGCTTTTCAAAGTTCGGAGAGGATGTGCTGTGTGTACTATGCCTTTCAGCATGTTGTACAATAACACTTATTGCTCCAATAACAACCTTACCCAGCCAAATATGAGAAAAGCAGTTTAAGCAACAATGTGCTGGGTTGGATTAGCATTACAGCTACACTTACACACAAGCCTGCTGGCTGTTTATCACAACACTTTTACACAACTTGGTACTGCTTTCACAGCCAAACATTACTATTGCTTACATATCATCATTGTTAAAGTGGTAGATCAGCCAAAAATGAAAATTCTGTCAAAACCTCTGAAGAATGCTAGGATCCAAACAACATTGGTAGCCATTGACTTTCATTTTCAAAATATATCCTTTTGGGTTCCACAGAAAGTCATACAGGTTTGGAATGATAAGGGCGAGTAAATGATGACAGAATTATCATTTTTGGGTAAACTATCCCTTTAAGGTTTGAAGAAACCTTAGAATTAGGAGCTCACTTTAGTACATAACTTGTTCCACACACATTTGTCCTTTGTTTTCAAACTCTGGTAACAAGAAGCCAAAAATGTAATAGCCACAAAATGCAATCAAAATTTGTTCTGATGCAGAAATGCAAGTTACAGCAAGACATGCAGACCAAACCCTCTTCAAGGTTATAAGAAATTTGAGAGCTATGACTTTGTTAAAGTAGATTTGCTGACTGCTGACAACTTGAACGCTGTTGTTGGCAAGACTTTGAATCCTTCTGAGTGACATCTTCTGGTGCCATTTAAAGAAAGCAAGAGCAAATATTAAAATCTCTGAACAGTCCATGTACAAGCAATGCTAAAAAATAACTTTACCTGTTGCTCATACTTTATACAGAAGTTCTTCTTTAGTTCTAAACAGCTGGATCAATTGACTTTTCAAATGCCCAGGGCTCCGGTGATCAAAGCCCCTTTATACAAGAGGCACTGTACTTAAATCATCAGACCCATCATTATGCCAGAGGACACTTCCCTTCAGCCAGTGGGGGCATCCTCAAAAATAATTACCACCAACAAACAGGCATCAGCATCCAATGCCTAACCACTAAGCTGGAAAAATGGATAACAAGTAGTTCTGCTGCTTTCCACATTACGTCAAATCTGACAACCCTCCTACCCCCCGAAGGATTAGCTGAGTGATTCCAGTGATTTTTTTGGTAACTGTGTGGAGATAGTCAGTGGAGTAATCAACCCTGGTGACGACTGTAATCACTGTTATCTTCATTTTTACATCAGAGAACAGGGCCAAAAGTACACATTCACTTCAATATAAATCAAGAGTCTTTATTCATTTAAATTAATTTATTATTATTTAGCCTAATATTTATATTATTATGGATCCCAAACCTTTTTGGCCAATTAATTTCTGTATTTTTCAACTTTTAAATAATGATAAATAAACAAAAATATGTATACCAGTGTATGTATGTATATATATTAGTAGATAATTTATAGCAATTTCTCAGCAAATAATATATGAGAAAAATGTTTATTTACTGAAAAATGTTTATATATATACACTCTAAAAAATGCTGGGTTGTTTTAACCCAATTTTGGGTCAAATATGGACAAACCCGAAATGTTGGGTTAAAAATGTAATGTAAAAATTTAACCCAACGGCTGGGTTAGTCCATATTTGACCCAAAGTTGGGTTAAAACAACCCAGCATTTTTTAGAGTGTACACAACAAACATTTAAAACTTAATTATTATAATTAATTACAATATTGTGTTCTGTGACAACAGGACACCTGTATTATTATTATTATGGTAACACTTTGCAATAAGGTCCAATAACTAACATGAACTAAACATGAACATTACATTTGTTACTGTTTTTGTTATTTGTTAACATTAGTTAATGCAAATCCAGTTGTTCATTGTTTGTTCACAGTGCATGATAACAAGTTTTAAATAAAATATTAGTAAATGTTGAAATTAACATTAACAAAGATAAACAAATGCTGAAGAAGTATTGTTCATTCTTAGTTAATGTTAACTAATGAAAATTATAATAAAGTTACCATTATTATTAATATATCCTACTTCATAAAGATCCAAAGGTCAGGTGAATTTATCAGTCAACAGAAGTGGAATTTCATGTGTGAAAAGTTGCAAATCTTTAAGCACCTTTAACAATTGATAAAACCACGGTTTCCGTTTAATTTTTTTTTCTCTTTCATTTTAAATAAAGAATTATGTTAAATAAAATGTTTATTAACAATTTTATCAGTCTCACTTGCCACCATTAAATTCTTTGTTTTATACCTGCATTATATTGCCATTTTCCACCCTGTTTATACATCTATCTGTTCTCAATACATCCGTTTAGGACAAGCAAGTGAAACACGCATACACTATATTATTACAATAATGCAGTTAATGGCCAGAATGAAAGTTACAATTGCATTATTATCATAATCATCACATCATGGACAAGTCAAGCTTTAGGCTACATCTTCAAAATCCAGAAAACTGTCAGACTGACAACACATTAATATCTATCTATACAGCATGTCAGAAGAACACAAATAAAATCTCATGAGTCAAGCTAACTTTCAAAACAATTCCACTAACGTTAGATCAAACTTCACAGCAAACAGACAGGATCTACCATTTAAGACAACAAATAGATAAAGTTTACTACAACAACACTGCCTGCTCTTTCTGTCCTGGTGATAATAATATAATCCCCAGGAGTCAGGACTAATAATAATAATACATTGGATCTCAGATATGTGGTTGTTCATGGCCAGTAAACTGCAACGTAAGACCTAAAATTATAGGTAAACAGCACTGACGAAGGTCTGTATACTCACACTTCTGCGAAATATGGTAAACATCAAATCATCTATGCTAACAACAGGCCATCAACAAACCTGTCTAGTTCCAGACACGTCAGACACGCTCACATCCACTAATAGCAGTAATCACGCACGCCTCCAACGCACTGCTTATAACACGATTTATCCTCACGCGGATCTGATGTAAAAGCAGCAAACATCCTTGACGTGGTTAATGGTTAGCCAAATAGCCTAGTAACGTTATTTTTTTTAAAAAAAGATGCCGCTCACCAAATTTGAGATTTCTTGGTCTGTTGGCGCTTGACGGGTCCGTTATCTGACGGTACCGAATGTACAGGAGGACATATGGGTACACACTCGTTTAAAAACTAGAGGCCGGTTGTCTATTTTCCACTGTCTTCTTGACCCATTCACAAGACAGCAGCGTGGAACCAACACACGGGGGCGGGGGGACATTGCGTCATTAGTGAGCGCCGCCCCGCAAATTCTACTTAATATTCAGCAGTCCAGGCCAATCAGGAATGCGATATTGTAAAACAATTAATATTCACTAGATAGGCATTTCCCATTGGAGTATTTCGGAACAAGCTCATTTAATATTCAAGACTAGCATTTGCCTATTTCCTTCTTTTGTAGTAGAGAGAATCCGCTTTACTCCAGTGCCATCTAAACAAAGGTCAAGATATTTTTAGTTATATTTTAATACGCTGAATCGAGGTCGTACGTGTGCATTTCCATTTAGTTAGTTAGATGTAGTTAAAAGTTAGTTAGAAGACGATTTTTGTAATGCATAGAAGAGAAGATACGACTGATCGCAGATGGTGCACGTGGCAATCTCGCGTTTTCTTTTCATGATGTCAAACGTTTTTGATAATTTACCAATCGAGGGGAATTGTCTTTTATTTTCATTGTGCTCAAATTCCTAAATGCAGAAATGCAACGGATTATTATTTTGAGTCGCTGTGAATTTTATATCTTAGAATGATTATAGATCCATATAGCAAAAACAAAGGCTGAGATGCAAGGTCTTCGAATTAAGTACAGGAAGCTCAGGAATTCTGACACGGCTATTAATTCACGTTAAAATGTTCAAACCCCATCGCATTTACATGTTTATTCACTAACATCATGAGTGACATCCAACTATTATCTTGCACGTAGATGGTTGTTGCTTTTCATCTGTGATGTCAATAGCCCATGTCTTTGACTGGGTAGAGCTCCAGCTGTGTTTTAGGGAGTCTTGTTCAGATGGTGCTAGATTGCCTGCAAGTGACAGGAAATGGCTTTGAGCAACCAATGGAGATTCTGGAACTCCATTTGGGATACATGGGGCACCGGACACTTCACACTTTGGGCATCATGCTACGGTCACAGTGAGTGTGACTGACAACCTATGACACTGGGGATCTGGGTGAAACTTCTGCTGAGGATTCATTCAAGTGAGAAGTCTACATATAGTTATGTTATTAGGACACATTCTGTCTGCTTAACGTTTGCATTACAATGCTTTTATTTCATGACTGATTTTCCTTTTTTTAAGCTATTTTAAAAAGTCTTGTTTAGTGATCTTGAAAATGCTGACATCTAGTGGAAACAAATATACCTCCCTCCTCAATTTTCCACTGAACCCTAATGCAGTCACTGAATGTCTAGACTTCACAAATTTACAGGGACATATTGCTGGTTCTTTTTGTTCATTTATTATTTTCAACTTCAGTCTCCAATACATTACCCCTCAACGCATTAAGTTTGTTACTTGTAAAATGGAGTAATGAAAGTCTTGAGATGTTGATGTGGCATTTTTTCAAACAATCACTGATGAGAAAGACACTGAGGCAAAAAAACTAAGTGTGACATGCACTTTATTCAGTAATGCGCCACAAAAGCGATCAACTAAGTGTTACAAAGAGAAAAAAACAAACACTTGTAGGATGTTTCAGATTACATGCAAATAACATTTTGAACAACACTTAAGAACATTAATAAAACAAAACCAAGAACAAATGACAAAGATTCGAAGATGAAGACCACGCCTCTGGGGTCCAGCTGAGACATTGACCGGGTCTCATTCACAGAAAGAACAGTTTCTCTGAGAGCTGGATAGCAGGCTCTGAATGGAGGTACTGGCCAGACAGGAAGGCCAGTTTGTGGGCATACTTGCAAGGTGCAGGAACGCGTATCGTTCCGGGCCAGTTCCAGTACAGGTGACACATCTTGAAGGTCAACCTGTGAACGTTAAATAACTTTTTTCATTTGATTTTTTGTTTAATATACGCTCGTTTGAACAGCTTCAGTTAAAAAACACCAGTCAACTAGGACTACTTTCTTACCTCTGTAAGTGGTCAGGGGTGAGGTTTGCAGTGTTGTACACTGCTATGTAATGAGTGGGCAGACCACAACCCTGTCGAATCGAATGTGCCATTAGGTAGAAGTCCACCCTAGAGAGAAGAGAAACATGTCACTACATATACAACATTTTATTTCCTCCTGGTAATGCACTAGACTAGACCTGTGCTGTGCACATCACGTTGCACATTCTAGGGCACTGCTAGGGCTGGGTATCGAGTTCGATGCTTTTTAGGCACCAAACAAATTGCCTCGAGTATAATATAGATACTTTCGAGTAGTGAAACACTGTCTTGGTACAAAATTTTTACCTAATCTCGTAAACATCATGATTTGCTGTGGAGGGAAAACACTAGTTTATGCGGTTGCCCAAAAAGACCCACCCACATAGACGGAAAATATGTGGAAAAGATCAGAAGTGGAGCTACATTTCACCAAGACTCGATGCCAGCAGCGTGTAATCCAATATTTGTGACAATAACATTGCTGCCAAGATAAAAATCTGATGAAGCACTTCAACAGAACACATAATAAACTTGATAGCAGAAAGTTCGACTGCAAAAAGAACTGGAGCGTGTCACAAATTAACCGAAACTAGAATACCTGCCTCACAGACATGTGAATAAGGCCTATAGAAGCTTAAAATAGTTTTACTTTTAAACCAATTCTAAACAAATTGTAATGCATTGTAATCCAAATAAAAGGTGAATTTCTCTCTATAGGCGCGCGCACATTCACCATACTGCAGGAATGACAAGTCAGCGTCGTCAACTTCATCTTTGCAGCCAACAAAGTCTAGTTTTCGACGAGTCTTTAGGTCTATTTCTTTTAAACTAACCAGTTTGAAACAGAGTTGGATTATGTAAACCAAATAAAAGGTGAATTTCTCTCTAAAGGCACACGCGTTCACTATACTGCAGAAATGATAAGTCAGCATCTTCATCTTTGCAGACAACTACTCAGAAAACACTAGTTTATTAATAAACAATTAAAAATGTCTCCTTGCTATTTTTTCCCAACATTCATAATTATTATGCTACTTTTGCCAGTGCTTTGTGGCAAGCTTTTCAAGGCATTTCCTGCCCTCCCAGTAGCTTATTTAATTCAATTCACATTTATTTGTAGCTTTTTTCACAAAACATATCGTTTCAAAGCAGCTTTGCAGAAAAAGCATGCGCAAGCTCATTTAAAGTATAGCTTACATGTTGTTAAATGACTAGGAAACATAAAACTTCAGCATTGGTGCTTTTTTACAGACTGAAAATATGTTTGTAAAAAAACTGCAAAAAAATATAGCCACCTTTTTTTATTTTTTTGTGTTTAATTTGTGTTTTTATTTTATGTTAAAATGGATTTAATTTTTTTATTTTCATAAAATTGATATCGAAAAAAAGTATCGTTCAGGAACCAGTATCACCGTTTTTTTTTTTTTTTAAGCTAAAGCGGTTTACAGAACCCTAAACTGCACGCAAAGCACAAGCTTCAGCTCTCCAACCATTCTCTGTTAGTGACGGTGTGGTCCAGCACGGTTCCTGGCGAGGGGGTCCCGAAGTGGTCTGATCCATAGGAGTACAGGGTGGTGCTGATTCTTTTCTGCACCACGATGAAAGCCAGCTTCGGTTCGTAGTTCGGGATGGTCTCGAAGCATTTCAAAATCTGAGGGATCTCATAAAGCTCCACGGTCTTCAGCTGTCCGTCTGACACGCCGTCGCGATAGATGACGATCTTCTCGGGGAAGGTGTGGTTCACCTATTTATATATAAAATGGTAAGATGGTCAAGCATAAAAATACCTAAGCTGTAGAGTATTGAAATAGAAAAAAAAATATTTTTGCCTTTGGCCAAGAGCTGTCATTTGACATTTGTTGTAGAGCCTATATTTTATCTGATTAATATTTATGTACGTTTTTTACCTCGTAGTATTTCTGCAGGGCAGCCAACAGACACACTCGGAAGCCGTTGATTATCTCCTCGTGAGGCATTTGGAAGGTGACCCTGGAGTACCATTTGGTCAGCATGCTAAACCAGGACAAACACAGGGTTAGGTCTGATTCAAAGATCTCACATGTGCTGCTTGTAAGCAGCACATTTTAATTTCTGCTAAGAGTGAGGCGTGTCCTGAGAGTCAGGACATTAAGTTCATTAAGATCTGGTTTACAGAAGCCTGTGATTGCCAATAATAGTTTTTCATAGATATATATTTTTACATCTGAATACAGTTATGAAAGACCCTTTTGTGAAACTTTTTTTTAAATTTTTTTTTGTTTATGTTAAAACAGCACCTGCTTTTATTAAAAATGGTTTTGTGATTAAATATAAAAGAACCAAGCAATAAAAGTCAGATGGCACTTTATGATTTGCTGTATGACTGAATAAAAGAAATAAAAGTCTACTATCTATACCATACTGAATTGCATAGCATCATATTTTTATCCATTGCATCATATATTACATTGAATCGGATCGTACCACATCGTGAGAGTAGTGAATCTTATATGTATCTTTAATGTATCATATCGTTGGCTACGCATCGGGATGCGTATCGCATCGGCCTGAACTAGAAGATGCACATCCCTAGTTTTTATATACATTTCATCTGAATATAAGAATGATTTCTGAAGGGTCATGTGACAGTTATTTTAAATTGTAAAATTTCACAATATTACTGTTTTTGCTTTATTTTTGATAAAATTAATGTTAAGCGTAAAAGACTTCTTCCAAAAACAACCCCAAACTTTTGAATGATAGTGTTTATGTACTTTGTGATTTGGGATATTAAATGAGTCCAACTGCACTATATTTCATAAAGTTACCTGTTGAGACTTGCCACAAAGCCCATGACAGATCGGCTCTTCTTGCTTGCGTCATGGTGAACATCCACCCCAATGACCATCAGGTATTTCTGTTCCAATGAAAATTAGTAGTTAGAAGTTCTTCTTTTAGTTAATCCCATTTGCTAATATTTATTTTCTGCAACAATACAGCATCAGTACCATTTAGAAGGAATAATGTGTGACACTTAGGGCTCTTAAAATTCATGCCTTTTTTCTTTATCATGCATTACTTCCTATTTCATCTATTAT